GTTGCATGGAATAAACTAAACTGCTTTGAAAGAAATTGGTGGCAGTTAAACTGCATCCAAGTCTAGGCAGGCTCTTAGGTTTAAAACTACAACCAGATAATAAAATTAACTAATGATAATAAAAAAATACCAAAAACCACCAGTAGGCAAAAGACCTGTTGCTTTGTCCTATGAGGTAGTGAAAATGAAACCATTCTAAAAATAGAAATGTGCGTATAAAAAGCAGATGTAAGATGAAAGGTGTTTATTAATATACAGCTGATATTTCGCATTGTACACTAATGTAAGAGGTTGTTCAAACTCTCAAATACTTGAAAATTAAGCTGTGATGCCTGCCTTTAAACTGTTCACTGTCAGAGTTTTAAATATTTATTTTTGAACTACAGTAGTGTGATACAAATTCACCCTTCTTGAGGATTTCACTATTCTTAGAATGACCTTGCATTAAGAATACCTATATTTTGCTAATACATATTACAGTCATCTGGATGATGAGTTTATAGACAGTAGTTCTGGATACAGTAGCTTGTGTGCCTCAACTTACCATCTAAGTTAGTTCAGAACTGCTCAAGTCAGTGTTAGAGGATTTGGAGAACTACTGCTGAATTGGAGGTGTCTCCTGAAGCAAAGCTGGGCTAAAGGGCAGTGCTCCGAGAGGGTTGGTGGTTCATCTCTGCTAGTTTGTGTGGTATTTTGATGTGGCAGTGATGTGCAGCAAAGCCACATGTGCCAGTTCAGGGGTTCATTACCGCATGTCATTCAGTAAATATGTAACCCTCTAAGTGATCCTTCCCAGCCCCTGCAACTTTCTTTTGAATCTGGATCCAGGATGGAGAGCGTCACTGGGTTATGAGCAGAGGGTATTTGTGTAACAGGAGGGGAGACTCGGGGGGACAGTTCATAGGCTGAAGTGATTCTTCTGTTTTTTTGGGAGTTTAACCCTAAAATGTTCCAATTCAGCATTATTTTTAGAGCAAGACATAACTCTTGTGCCCTGAAAAAGACTTTCCACATTTCCTTAGTTGTGCCATTTCCTCATTTTAAGTAGAAACCACAGCAGATCATAAAATAAACTTTCCTTAGTGCAAATAATAGTGCTCCCAAGCTGTAGGATTCAGCTCTGCTGCCAGCAGTTCCTTCAGAGACCAACAGGAGGGACTTTTTAATTGAAATAGGGAGGCTGAGCACAGATGCTGCCTCTTTTTCTTCCATTTCCTTTTCTGCAGGTGGAAGAAAGAGTCTCAGAAACCAAACACTTAAGTTTATTCTCAGCTCGGCTGCTAACATTCTCCATGACCTTTGGCAAATCTCTGCTGTTCTCCTTGTCGTAGCTCCCAAAAAATAACTTGAGGAAGTAAAACGGCACTTCCAGATTGGCCTAGTAGTTAGGAATAATCCTGGGGTTACTAAACTGAACATGTCACCTTTCTTATAAGCCATTTCCCCCCTGGCTTTAGGCTACTACAAGTTGTGTAGCCAAATAAATGTTATTTCAGCTCTGCCTAGTATCTATGTAAATAGGAGTTAATGAGTTGCTGCATCTCATGGCTGGCCTGTGACGTGGAGGTCTCCAGAGGGAGGATGAGGAGAGGCTGCTGTGGAAAGTCCCTGGCTGTTGCTAAGCAGCACTGCATTTTAGCTTCCTTGTCTGAAAGTCTGTGCTCAGGTTTGGCAAGGCAAGGGAAAACTGAAGGATAGAAAACCATACAAAGATGCTTCACTTGCTTTTTGTAAAGCGTTGCCTTACTATGCTGGGTGCAGAAAGCATGTGGCTGCATGTGAGATGGAAGCAATTTGATTAAATAGAATAACATTTGATAACTAGCCTTCTATTTATTCCTTCTTAGCTGCAGGATCATGTGGCTTGCTCTATGTCTCTCCCTCTCTTTTGTCTATTATGACAATCTTGGACTCTTGCAGTGAAGCTCTTGCAGTAAAGTGGAGCAAGACCACCATCACAAGTGGTCTTGCTCCGCTTCCAGTGTAAGCAGAAGCAGGAAAACCCAGCAGTTCCAGAGAGCTTCCTCTGCTGAGACGTATGCACAGTTTTACTGTCAGCAGAGGAGGGGATGTCATGTTTTGATTTTACTACTAAGTTCATATTAACTAAGTTGTTATGTAGGGCATCCTGTTCTTGCTGCGCAACGCGACCAACCTCTTTGAACTGTAGCAATAGTGCAACTAGTGGTAAGATCTTCATGTGATTGAAACTCACCACAACAGCAATGCTAAAAGAGCACCTCTGTTTTCTGCCAGAAGTGTAGGACTTGGGATACAGCTGAGCACTTGAATTTCTTTTGGTAGACTCTGGCTGTTTGTCCATACACCCACAGGGTAGCTCAAACTTTTCAGTCAGTCTTTGTCATCTTCTCCTAATTGTTGTCTCTGTTCCTCCCTATGCATTTTAATAGAAGGTCAGAATGGGTACATTTAAGGTCTTGCTGCCTCTGCTAATTTGCAGTTGGGAAAGAATATCTTGTGCTGCACCGTAATAGAGTCATTGGGGGATCTGCGGATGGGATCTCCCTAGGCAGTGGACTCCACTGAACTGCACTGGAAAGTGTTGTACTTGCTCCCTGGCTGACAGAGTTTGCTTAGATAGTTTTCCCCTTTCAGCAGACAATCCTGTGGTGCTACTGAGGCACTGTGGAATTTGGTGTCATAGCCTAGCTCCATCCTTGGGGGCTCAGCCAAGTACCACTGTAGAGCTCAGCTTTACAGCAGTATGGAGGAGCTGAGAGTCTTGCACAAAGCTTGTAGTCAAACGGGATGCAGCAGGGTGTGTCCCACTGTAACAGCACTTTTGGCCTAAAGGATGGGGCTCGAAATCCATAGTCCTGATTTCACTTTCATTGCTTGACCCTGCTTTGTCTCACATGTTTTACCCTACCAGTGGGTGTGTGGCTTGAACTGTTCTTGAGCTACACTTCCTCATCCCCACCAGCAAACATTTCACAGCGGTTTAGAAGAAAAACTTATGGAGAGACTAAAGCTTTGCAAGACCTCACAACTCCTCACTTTGCCCATCCCTGCACCCCTGGGGTTTGTTGGCCCCACCAAGTTCTCCCTCCTCCTCAGTCTTTTTCACTGTGTGGTTGTGGGGGGTCTTAAGAAAAGCAGTAACCTCACAGTAAATAGAAACCTTACAGTAACTGCCTTGCAGCCTGGCTGGGAATGGAGCCCTGTGTAGTTTTATAGGAATTCCTAGAGAATTACTTCCTTAGTCAGACAGCACAGATTTGGGTTGGTTCAGTCCAGCAGTTCCCTTTGTTTCCTTCAACTTAGTTTGTCCAAAGACCTGTTGGGTCCTTTTAGGTCAGAAACCTTGGGGTTGTGCTGCCAGGTCAGAACTGGGGGCAGAGGCATCAGGCACAGCTACTGCTGAGCCCTTTGATGAATAACGAAGCATTAGGGTTCACCTGCAAGAAAAAGCTCAAAATCCTTGCAGCACCTCCCTTCTCCCCCACGCATTCCTGGATACTGATTTCCTTAAGCCTCAAACTACCCATGTACAAATCTGAAGACTTGCTGCAGTGCCTGTCCCTTTTCCTGCCATGTAAGTAGGCTGTGGGAGTGCTGAGGGCTGGATTTTACATCCAAGAGGCCGGTGCGCATAGAAATAGTGGGTGGGTCCCCAACCCTCCCTCTAAATTTTGGGCAGCTGTGTGGATTGGCACTGCAAGATGTGCTCATGGGGTGTAGAATAACAGAAGGTGGTGGAGGAGGGGGACTTCTTCCCCCACACCACAGCAGTACTTGCTACTGGAGAAACATACTTTAACCTGAGCACTTTTCTTTTTTTTTTTTTTTTTCTTTTCTTCAGAGTTTCTGTGGGCTTGTTTGTGTATTTTGGGTTGTTTTATTTTTTAAGCTTTTTGAATTTCCAAGGCTTCTTTTACTGTGTCACTTTTTTCTTGTCTTCTACTGGAAAAAACAGAAAGACTACAAACAAAAGGAGAGAGGAAGTAGAAAGGTCTCACTATTTACCATCCATATTGTTAAAGATGGTGGGGTATCTTTCCACAGGTCTTCTGTGGTAAGAACGTAATCTGAAAAGCACTTCAGTTGCTTTGTTAAAGCATGTGTGTGTAGGGAGTGTTTTCCCACACTTCACACAGCTTTCCAAGTGGAAAAGGGTAGAAAACAGTTAGGCACTAGGGAAATCTATTCTTTCAAAAACTGATGGAGAAGTTTTTGTAACACATCTCCACCACCAAGTTTTTCACTATGAAAAATGTAGTTGAAGTATTTTTTATGGAAAAACCGTTCTGTCTTGAAGCCTTGTTTTTCCACTTTGAGTGTTTTTTTTGAAATTTTTTTGAGGGGAAAGAATGATTTTATTCACTTGCCAACTTTCAAAGCGCTGCCTCAGGACTGGAATAGAGCTGCAACTCACCTGTTTATTTCTGTAGTTGCACAGAGTAATTGGTGTTTTCAGTATATCCTGTTTGCCTAGTTGTGCGGTTCATGTGTTATGACAACTTTAATGGGTCTTCCAGTACATGGCAAAGGGATTTAGGACTGTAGACAGGTGCTTTTTACCTTATTTTCATTATGTTTATGTATTTGGAATTAAAAAACAACTGTTGAATAATGGGAGCATCCACGTTTACATTAAATAGACTTTTTTTTTTCTTCATAAAAGAAAGATAAATTCACCTTCTTCAGGGCAGAGTCTAAGGGCTAATTTGCAGAAATTAGGAAGAAACTTCCTTTTAGGCAGTTGTTCCATCTCTTTCTCTGTGCCATTTATTATACTTCCTTTTGAAAGCCAAGTTATCAGCCACTGCCAAAGGACTCTATGCAGGCTGGGTGAGAGTCTCAGATTAGGTTGATTACTTGATGGCCACCTCTGGTAGTTGTTAGTCTTTCATGTCTCACTTAACTATCCATCTGTCTTGTTTGCTAATTAAATGTTGATGTAGAGAAACTCCCTACAACCTCCCTCTCTGTTCCCTTGTGCTACTGCTACTAATCCCTGGATTCTATTTCTCTTTCAGAAGATGCTGCTCAAGAAGAACTGTGGAGCGAAGACTAGAGTTATTAAAATTCATGTAAGTTGTCATTTTCTGGTGCAGTTCCTTTATCTTTCCACATATGTCTAAATGTGGTGATTCTCTTTGCACATCTACACCTAGAGATCATTTCCAGAGGTTTCCAATCACTTGATCAGCTGCATAACAAAAATTGCTAGTCTGGAAAATAGACTGTAGTTCCAATTTAGGTTGGGTGCAGAGGAGGCACATCGGCTTTTCCATTTTGGAGACTGCGTTCAAAGCTTCCTTGCAGTGGAAGTCTACATCCCCTGCTATGACCTGATACAGTTAAGCATAGCTGTCCTGTAGGATGTCATTTGGATCCTTCTTGAACAAGGGAAGTGCTGATCTGAGGTAACAAGTGGTGTTTGGCAGGGGTGATATAGCATGGAAAACAGACTAACTGCATGCTGCACTGATGTCTGCAGAACTGTATGGGATGCTGGACTGGATGGTGGCAGGTAAGCTAGATTGCTCTGATGGCCTTGCAGCTGGGATGACATTGCAGTGTCTGAGCATCTCCTGTTCTTGAGCGCACAGAAGCCTAGCAGGGCTAGGTTTGCTCAACTCTCCTGCTTGTAGTTTTTGAGTCTGTCTCTAGTACTCCATTCCCTGACTCTTCAGCCAAGCCCTGTCTCCTTTGTGGGTACCTTGGTTCTCTTCTGGTCAGTTCTGTGTGGTGCTGTGGGAGATGAGTTTGTGACCTTGAACATTACAGCTAAAACAAGTGCCTCAGTCCCCTGAGCCCCAATATGATCTTCCACATGTTTGCAATACACAGGCAAAAACAGGTCAGGGTGGAGAAAACATCCTTTGTGATAAAACTACTACTTTCACTGCAATAACTGTAGCCTTGCAAGAGGGATGACTGGCAGACCAGGATCCTTCAGGGTTTACACCTTGCCCAGAAGGAAATGGGACAGATGCCTTTGTGTACTTAGCAGTGCTACTGTTTATGGGCGTGCTGTTGGGTGCCCCTACTCATCAGTGCTTTGTGGGTGAATTTGGTATTTGAGAGGAGAAGGAGCAGGTAGGGCTGGCTAGAGCCTTGTGCAGAGCTGGATGGTATATTTCCAACTCATATGCCTTCTGCCTGGGCATTTCAGTCCTGCCTTCCAGCAGTCCCCCGGTGACCTGGTACTTCTGATTGCACAATTAATCCTGATCCGTTATGTATTCTCTTGTGTTCCTGCCTGGATTGTTTTCAGTGGAGCTGTCTCCTCCTGTGCCCTGTGAGCTCTCCCCAGACTGTGCTTGTCCTTCAGACCTACCGACAGTATAATCCTGCCACAATATTTTAGTGCAATTTATCACCTTCCTTTATCCCTGCCCCATGTGCTTTTGCTTTTTTTTTTTTTTTTTTTTGGTGTCCCTGAACTGTAGCTATTTCCAGTGTTGCTTGGTGGCAGTCCTCCAGTCTCTGGGGTTTCAGCAACACCTCAGTGGGATGGTTTCCTCTTGACACCTTGAGCTCATTATTGGAGCTTACTCTTGTGTCCCTGGAGAATCTGAAAGGCAGAATTATCCCTTTGCTCCTGACTGAGCTCAAGTCAGCTCACACTAAAATAAACAGCAGAAACTGAGAGCGCACCATTCTGACAGATGGCACAGAATCCACGCTTCTCTGCCCCATCTTGCCAAGTTGGGACAGTGCATCTCTACCTGGGGCATGTGGTTTCCATGACAATAGTGTATGCTACTTCCCAGTCTCTTGTTGGTCTGTTGTAGTGGCAGAGCTGTTACATAAAGGAGCATTTTTGCTTCCATTTTTCAAGTGGTTGTGAGTACCCACTTTTGTGTACCCAGCTTAGGAAGGAGGCAGCAAGTCCCTGGCAGAATACCTTGCCAGTGTGCCTCAGCTCTGGAAGCACAGAGGGGTCAATACCTCTGAAGGATGATGCTGTGCTCTCATCATATAAAAGGAAACCTCAGTCCAGCCAGTAAGACGTGCTTGGCATGGGGTTCCTTCTCAGTGTTGCCCAGCAGCAGAACAAGAGGTAGTGGGCACAAGTTGAAACACAGGAAATTCATGTTGCCCAGAGAAATTGTGGAATCTCTGTCTGTGGGGATATTCAAAGCATGCCAGGACATGGGCTTGGACAGCGTGCTCCTGCTGACCCTGCTCTGAGGAGGGGAGTTTAACTTGTCTATCTCTAGAGGTGCCTGCCAACCTCAACTATTCTGTGATTTTCTGGCTCTTGCCCAGCATTCAGTAATGGCGTCGGAGTACACTAGGGACCTTAGTTCACTTGGGAGGGCTATTCTAAGGCCCTACTGAATGTGGCCTTTTGTAAGGATGATAGCAAGAGGCAAGGTGAGAGGCTTGATTCTCTGTTGCTGAGGGTTTGCCAACGCAGGTTCAGTGTTGGGACTTTGCCATGGTGGTGAGGGTGGAAGAAATGAAGTCAGGTCTCTCATAGCAAATAGGTTGATGAGCTGTTAAAGGAGGAACCAGGCAACTGTCTGCATGTCTGAACAGGAAACATCACCATGTGAACCAGTTTGCTTGTGTCGCTGTAGCCTTGAGAAGCCCTGGTGCCCCTGTTTCAGCATAGGTCAAGAGCAGGCAGTCCCCTTTCTGAGCTGAGGTGGGTGGTGACATCCAGGCAGCATACAGCTGGATGGAGATGCAGTGAGGGAACTCATCTGAGGAGCGGGCAGGCTACCTAATGGTTTATGCCAGGGATTTGAAGCAAGGATTCCTGCTTTCTCCCCTTAGTTCTCCTGCTGCTGAGTATCTTGAAGGAGAAAGGATTATACTTATTCCCTCCTGTGTGGGGACAATGACAACAGTCACCGGTTAGTAACACCAGTGAAACATTGTTATCCCATTCTTGCTGTGTCTCATATGGTTGTGAGATAATGCACACTTTTAAAAATACCTGCCTGATGGCTGATTGGTTGCCTTGACATCTTGGGGCTTTACTGGCACGTCAGGACGCAAGTTGTTGTGCTCTCATGCATCACCCAAGTTATGCTTTTCCTCCCTCTTCTGCTGGAAGAGTCTTTCGTGGGAAGGTGAGATGGAGGGGCAGTGTCTTTACCCTCTGATGCTGAAACACAGTTTCAGCCCTGGTCCTTGGGAATTTTTCTCAAGTGCATGACCTACGTTGGGTTTTGCTTTTCCACGTGCTGTTTTAAAACTAAGGTGTCACCTTGTCATTGTTGCTTGTACTTAAGCTTCCCGTGGGCCAGCTCAGGCGGTGTTAGGCTACAGCCTTTCCACTCGCTCAGCAGTTCTTCTTAAGCAGGATGATGAGACAGTGATATGACAAGTTTAAGAACCTGGACAGCTTAAGGCAGAGAGATTAATAAACTTCCCAAATGTGCAGCAGCTCAGTCATGTTTGAAATGTTTTCAGGAATCGCAGATGTGAGAGGTCAGGGCCTATAGTGAAAATAATACTAAAAAAATCTCGCTTCTTTTCCCCCCCGACCCCAGTAAAGGATAATGGAACAGGAGGATCAGTCCCTGCGGGCAGGCAAGCAGATATAAATTAGAGGTGACAGTGTGCATATGAAATATGAATTAGTACATAAGATACATGTAGCATAGCACATGTCAGTGCAAGGTGAGGGGTAGGCATGGGCCTACATGGGTGTTGCACAGGGAGGCTGTTTGGTCAGCTGTAGCCAGCTCTGAATGCAGAGACCCATCTTCCAGAGTCTTTCTATAATACCACAAGCCTTCAGTTCTCCAGGCCCTCTTGGGATGAGGATTACAAGTCTGACATCTAGTCTTGTTCTTGTTTTTCCTTCACAAACTCCTACATGTAGTCTCTGAATGGAATCGGTGGAGCTGGGCTTATCTCAGCAGCAGTAGGTGGGTAGAAGACACAACTGGCAAGCCCCTGGGTATCTCAAGAGCTCTTGTTGGGACAGGCGGAGAAGGCAGTAAGGATTTCAAGGCCAATCTGATAACCTGGCTCATCAGAGAGATGTTTTCTGCTACTTAAAAATAAGAATTTTAAATCGGAACATGAACCTCTTGTGCTCTTGCCTTGATCTTATCAATGTTGAGAACACCTTCTGCTTGAACAGGGGCCAGATGCCTGGAATGACTTTCCTGTCTCTTATCTCTTGCATCTGCATCCTAAAAAGCCACTGCAGAAACATGCTAGGTTTTCTTCTCCTAAAACAAGGGACCTTTTCAGTTTGGAACTGTGCAGGAGATACGCTGGCCTGACCTTCTTGGCAGATGCCTGAGCTATTCACAAATGCAAAGCTTACTGGGTGACAGAGCAGTATTGGTGCAAACCTCTGGTTCTGGCTGCACAGCATGAAGTAAAGATTTCTAAGAAATCAGGAGACTCTTTGTATGTCTGTACATGCATATATACACACACACACATGTTGCCCTTTCCATCGCAGACTCCCAAGGTGCTTTGGAAGCATTGCTAAATATAGCATCCCAGAGGCAAATAAATACCATGATTGCAATTTCAGAGTGAGTTAAACTGAGAAACCATCGGAGAATGTGACTTGCCTGAAGAGAGACAGTGTGAGGAGAACTGAAATCTGGGCTTTGATCTTCAAACCACATTCCTTGAGCTGTGTCCTTACTCATACCATATCATGCAGTCTAAACAACTGTGACAGCTCAGGCAGCAGAGATCCCAAACCATCTGACAAACCCTCCTGGTTGTCTGTAGTATGTGACTAAGTGCCTAAACCGGAACCTGCCCTTTAGAAGCGACAGGAGAGACCAACCTTCCTGGCTAGTTGCGTTCTTGGGTTACTTGCTGGGCGGAGGCCCATCATGGAGATTTTAGCACTCCAGTTCCCTAGGAGTTCTCTCTTATCTCCTGTTGACGGGCACACCTCTGCTGAGCGAAATGGAGAAAGTCCTGTGCTATGTGTGAGCACTAATACCCACTTGCTTGTTGGGGAAACCAGCTCTCCCTGTGCTCCTCCCAACCCAGCCACTGAGCCACCTGCTGAAGGTCTCTGTGTGCTGATGGCTGGCCCTGGAGAACGCCAGCCTTTGGGCTGAATAATTCCTGACAAATTACTTTGTCC